ATCAGAGAACGTTTTAAAGTGTTTTCCGCATTTGGATTTTCTCTGGAATCGAAGAAAGTTGTTTAATAAGTTTCCGAAGTTTGAAAAAAATTGAGCTACCAAAGTTTTGAAACTCAGAGAAAGCCACAGCAAATTTTTTCGGAACAGAGAATGATTTCCCGTCCCCACTTCTCTGGTTCTTTGTTTATCAAATATTAATTTATATTCCTCATGAGAAAACGAACATTATTTTTTGTTTTCTATATGGAAAAAAATTGGTTTTACAACATTTTATACATTTTGTTACTAAAACCAAAGTCCAAACATATCCTTTACCCGAATAAGTAAGGGTGTACAAATACCTTTTGTTTTAGATTTCCATTGGAAACACTGCACAGTGTGCAATGCACACTTAACTGTTTAATTGCAATTATTGCACATCAAATACCACCTGTTGTTAGATAAGTAATCAAACTTTTCTCGACCGTTTTGTTTTCAAGGATTCTAATCGAATTATTTGTTCCCTTTTCATTTTGCTATCTTATATAATTTGACACATCTTTGTATTGTTTACCCTAGAAAAAGTCGATATACATATGCTAGCAAGGACAATATTTGCATTAGTATCGTAAAATTCATCGATAGCAACATACGTATATACACATTTTTTGTATAAACTTATTCTATGGGACTTATTATGAAGCAACATAAGAAGTTAATAATTTACAATCTATTATTCAAAAAATTGCTTTTCCACCTGCAACTGATATTAAATTTCCTTCCGTTCATAAATCTATTTTTTTCAGTACCCTAATCGAAGTGGAAGCACTTATTCCTAATAAATAGATAGCGGTTTGCTTTACTTTTAGTGTACTTTGAATAGAATGTTATATTAATCAATATTAACAAGCAGCTTCTCTTCAATTAATTTTGTTCTATGCCAATTCATTAAAATGTATGGTATATCTATATTAAAATGCATTAACTTCTGTAATTGCTTTGCATACAGACGTTAAAACATGTTTATTTTTGTTAAATGTGTTAAACAAAAAATAACTGTTTTCATGCGTTTATTTCTTGGATTTGTCTAGTAAACGAGTTTTATAGCGTTGTTTCTTCAATTCTCGTCGTCAATGTATCAAAATGGTGTTTTGCCATTTATCTGTCTGCTTGGGTACTAGAGCCGCGCGTGACCAAATTTTTTGGTCACAGTGACGGTGAGCCCAGTTCGTGTTCGTGAGTCACGGAGGTCATGCCGTGCACTAATGAGTACTAAGATCGGTGTAATATTCAATTTTGTGGAACTTACATATATTTTTGAAGAAAATAGTGAGTGTAAGTTTAAAGTCGAAGTTTTCGCAGCTCTTTCCTCCATTACAGACACTTAGGAATTAGTTTTCAATGTCAATGAGTATTCTAAGTTATGAGAAATATGTGAGTTCCACATGTCAGCTTCAAAGGAGCTGCACTAACAAGCTTTTTTCTCGATATTTCAAGTGTAGTGCATATTTTTAGATAGAACAAGACAGAGCGCCTTATCAACTCTATGGTTCATTGCTAGCCGACTGAAATCCATATTGATAGATGTTCAAATTACTTGAGCTAGAATGAAATCCATTATTCAAATTCTATATAAACTCTGAGTATATGATATGTGATGCTAAGAATGGATACGGTATTGTCCACCATCTCGGCCGATGATTAAAAAATGGTTTTATTCGCTGTATATTATCCGTTTGCGTTAGTAAAATATTTTTCTTGATTCATTTCAATTTTTGTTTTTCCTTTAAGAATGGAGTCTCAATAGTAAACTTTGCTTTGAATGAATAATGAGTCGATATAAAAACTATAATGAGTAAACAGTCAGACAAGTTCAATGCTTCTTCTTGTCTTGTTTTCACGTTTCTTTAGTCTTTTCTCTTTTTACTTTTTTCTATTTTTTTTGTGATAGAAGTGGAACAAGAAAATAATATCTGTAATCAACATCACTAATAACTAACTAACAGGAATGGGAATCACAGATGCTTTAAATTTCATTTTTTGTTGTTTTGTTTTATAAGTTTTAGGTTAGTGGAAGGCATCTTTAAAATCACACACAAGATAACAACAAACAGATGATTCATAGTATCATGTTATACAAAATGATTTGAATATAATATATGGCGCAAAAGTCTTTGGTATAATGTCAGAATTTATTTCTCAACAGCAATACATCGGATGAGCTTGACGTTCATTTTTTTTTTTTGAAGAAAGAGAGTCTACAGAACAAAGTTGTTTAGTGAGTAGTGTCTAATTCAGTCAGATAGTAAGGCGCGAGAACACTTTCAGTTAACCTAAGAAAAGATTTATAACACTTAAAGAAGTTAACTTCTTGAATCAAATTACTTCAAAAGTGTCTAGGTATCAATGGAGCAACCCACTGAACGTTTCGAAAAGAGGCGTACCCGAAACCTACTTTAAAATTTTTTTCCGTCCGCTTTTTGATAGTTTTATAAACTGACTACAGTAAATTTTGAAATTTTCCAGATCTTACCAAATTGGTATTTTGTTGCAGTATTCATTAAAAGAACGATTTTTTAATTGATAACGTAACGAATGCAAAGCTTGACATAGATATTTTTTAGAGTTTTTAAGCTCTACTGGTAACCATATTTAGTCCGCACTAGAAAACAAATAGTAACACAAAGTGGGCGATCAAAAATACGGAAAAGCCAGGTTGCAAATACATTTAACTTCGTATCATGTTTAAGTTTTGTTGTATTAAACAGATAATAACATTTTTATATGTTGATGTATTATTCTTTTGACTTTCATTTTTAAAACAAGAGAAAAATTAGGTCTACCGAAAATTCGCTGTTGGAAAATAACTTAGGAGATTATTCCAAACACCAGCAGTGCATATTTATTACATAGTATTAAGTAAACAAAAACAGTTATTTGTTTATGATTGTATTCGATTTACTATTATGTTTTCGTTGATATTTGTGCCTACCAATGACCGTGAAAAATTAAAAATGAGAAGTAGAGAAAGATGAGATGCAAATCAGTTACACTTTTCATTCTATTTCTTTATGTGAGAACGATTGATTAATCCGTCATCATTGTTGTTTATCGATCACTGCCATGAAAAGAGTTTTCAGCAGTAAAACCAAAAAAGATGTAAAATATTTTAGATGACTCGCGTATATTTTCTTCGCTGAGGAAAACAGGAGTGTTGCCAAAGTATCGTGATCGAAATTAAAATAAAATACACCCAGAAAATGTGTAACAAGAAACTCTTTCGAAAAAGTAAACGCGTTTTATTCGCACAATAATGCAAACAAATGCGTTTTATTTGAAAGAAATGCAGTACAACGCGTTTTCATATAGTAGAAACCTGTGTTAGAATGCATTTCTTTGAATTTTTTATGCCCTAGATAAAAACGAAGAAAAACATTAAATTTTAGGTCAATTATAATCTTTAATACAGATTTGACTTTGGCATAATCATGACAGAAAAAGAAAAGATTCAATTTTATGTCAATAATAATTTATAATTAGCATAAAGCTTTCATATAATCACGCTAAAAGCAGAAGATAAAATGTTGGGTGAATTTTTATTTATAATTCAGATAGAGCTTTCATATAAAGATGGAAAAAACAAAAAGATTGAATTTTATGTCAACTACATCATTGGCAATAGTATACCGCCCTTGAATCTTAGTTCCTATCATAGGTAAGGGTTTCAAAATTCGTATGCAGGTAGTCCACAGCTAATATAGGCTAGCGGTAACTTCAGCAGTAATATTGCTCAAGCTAGAGTGGAGTTATCCTAAGTGGCATCCATGATCATTGTGAATCTTGCCACTCAAGAGCAGGAAATCACTTTGAGTCAGAGAATCGCTCGTTTTGTAGGTCTACGTTACAGCTACTTCAGATGTAAATTCTATCGAAGTTTGTCAATTTATTGAAGATCTAGAATACTTTGACTGAAGAAATGCATATACAAAAACATCATAGAGTTGCATTGGACGATCAACAACTCAGTAATAATTCACTAGATCAGTGTGAAGTTTTCGGGAAGTATTCTGTAATAGTTGTCGATTATTTCTTGAAAGTTTCACAGGCAAGCATTTTACTAAACGAAAATAGCGTGCCCATCATCATTGAGAACTTCTCAGGCATCTGAAGTCTAAATTTTTGGAACAAATGAGAAAATATTTTCAACAACGAAAGAGCATGAGTTTGCTTTTGTTACTTTTCTATCTAATGGATCAACTGTCTTAATTTGTGGGAATTTCTCTGAAAAGACATTTCGAACGAATCGAAGCTCTTAGAGATCGATCAGTACAAACTAGCCAGCTAGCGTCATCGAAGCATGCAACATTGGAATCGTAGTTGCTAAGAATTATATATTAATAGTACTTCATATAATTTAAGATGGGAGAATCTTTAGTAACCATCAGGATGTGGAGGATGAAGGGGGAAGTCAATATTTTCATCCTATATACTTCAAGACTCCTTTCAAATCGTGTTTCACAAAACTTTAACTATAACATCTACTTATATCAATGTATAGGGATGCCCGAGAAAGAAGAACAACATAGTCTTACAAATATCAAGAGGAGAGTTTAAAGGCAAATTACCAGATAGCCATTTTGATGAATCAGTAACAATCGCAAAAAGACTAATAACCCTCGTGCAAAAATGAAACATGTAAAAGAAATTCATGTAATCAATAAATTTATACCGATCTAGTTACTCTTTATTTTTGTAAAAGATTGAGAACATTTTTACATGAGTTTATTTAGCCGCACCATAGAAATATTTCATATATTGTATGAAACGTACTTTTTAATAATAGTATTCAGTAGTAAATATGTGCGATAAGATGTTCTTTTTTGGTACCGGACCAAGACGCACTCGGTAAATCTGTTGTAGTTCTGATCGCTATCTTAGTAACTTTTCTTTTCTGCTGTTTCAGTCCTAGTGGCCGTAAAAGACCCTTCACATGTCTATTCAATATGCATTGAAAACAGTCTTTCATCTGAGTTATTTGATATTCTTTTTTTTCGTGACTCATGCATATGTTATATACATTATTAGTTCTTATTAACATATGTTCCACTATGATGCTCAGATATTATTATTTTCTCGTCAAACTTATTCAATCAAAAGTGAATAAAGATTTTGTTTGATTCATCTTTTAACTCAACATTTTAGAATGTCAGCTTCTATTATAGTTAACATAAAACTCAATCTCGGTCGTTATGGTTTGTCAACATTAATTGTGCTCGGTAATGTGGGCAATATTTTAACGATCCTTATATTTATACGAGCATTAAAAAAGCAACTGAATTCATGTACAATTTATTTGTTAGCTACTTCAATTACAAATTGGGTTTTGATTAATACCGCACTTATCTCCTCGGTTTATGGTGTTGATCATGTTGATCCACAAAATGCATCAATTATTGTATGCAAATTAAGATGGTATGGTGCACAAATATTATTAATGCTTTCACGAAGTTTTAGTAAGTGTTATCAACATATAGATAAACAAATGACGCTATTGCTTTTATTTTCTAGTGGTAGTTGCATGTATTGATCGATGGGCTTTGACTTCTTCATATGCTAGAATTCGATAATTTTGCCAACCAAAAGTCGCTCGTAATGTTATCATCGGCCTTATACTGATTTGGCCAATTGTTCCAGTTCATATGGCTATTTTCGTCAATAATTATTCTGGTCATTGTGGTGCACCTACTTATTATGCTTTTGCATTTTCTATCTACTTATTCATTTTTATTGGAATTCTTCCACCAGCTTTTATGATTTCATTTGGTGTATTAACTTGGCATAATTTAAAGCAAATTCGATCACGAGTTGCACCTAGAAACGATCCTACTCGATTTCGTTTGGTCAAAGCTGATCGTGATTTGATAAAAATGTTAGCTGGTGAGGTATTGGTCTATTTAGTGACTACAGTTGTTTATCCTGTTAATACACTTTATGGTGTTATCACAACACCTATTGCACAACAAAAGAGTGAACTACGATTAGCTATTGAAGACCTCGCTGGATATATAGTTAGTCCAATACTAAATTATATCTATTGCGTTGCTCCATTCTATGGTAGAATTTAGTTGTTGACTTTCAATTCAAGTTTTTTTTTTCATGATTGTTTTTATTTTTATTTTAGTGTATTCAATTTGCTCGAAGAAATTTCGACACGATTTCATTTGCTTGATTTGTCGACAACCTGCCCTCTAAGTGAACTATGCGTATAGTAGAATTAAAATATAGCAGACCTCGAATGAATGTAAATAATTTTATCCCTTTCAGGACCGGCTTATTTTGAGCAAAAATTACAAATTTTTCAATTTTTCAAAAATGATTTATTCTTCTCAGATTTATCAAAATGTGAACATCAGAAGGCTTTCAAAGTGTGATATTGTTTGAAACACTCCGGGTTACATAGTGGAACATCACAATCTGGACAATAAAACCTTGTATCGCTTCGTTTTTTTTCTCGCTTGACTGTATGACTACAGACANAAAACCAAATACATCACAAGATGCAGCGTGAAAAGCTCTATAATTTACATAGGACCACATTTTTACAGCTGTACTTTTCGTTTTCAAAATCGGCAAAAATTCTGAGCCACCAGATTTCGGTGCTGCGAAAAAGTCTTTGTTCAATACACGGCCAATGCGTTTTTTTCCTCTTTACCACGTGAAATCTTTTATTTAAAAAAAAAACAAAATATACCACAAGATGCAGCGTAGAAAGCTCTACAATATATACAGGTAATGAAAAGATAAAATAAGAAAAAAGATAACTTCTCGTTCGTGTTATCTTTCGCCGCGTCGAAATTTGGTCGTTCGAAGTTTTGACGATTTTGAAAACAAAAAGTGCAACTGTAAAAAAAGCGGTCTTATGCATATTGTAGAGCTTTTCACGTTGCATCTTTTAGTATATTATATGAAAAAAAAGTTCTTTGAAATTTTTCTATTAATATCGATAAGAAAATGTCGCGAACTTTTTTCCCATACCTTAATACTTCGCAACACTTATACTATGCTTTGGCCGACTTTTTTCGATAACGATATGAGTTCTTTAGAACTAATAAGTTTGCTGTATTCTTCTTAGAAATAATTAATTACTTAATGCAGTTGAAAGGTATTTTAATTCGTGAAAGGATATTATTGCTCACAGAACGATAAGGTGTGCTAAAACGTACGGTTTTTATAATAGACTTCCTATTTTAACGTTTCTTGATGTTTAAATATTTTCATAGTTACACGGTGCTAGTGGTTCGCAAGATCTCGATAACAAAGTAAAGTACTTTCTGATATTTTGCAATGAAAGCTTGAACAGAAAACTACTCACTATTTGAATTTTATGACAGTCAGTTAAAAGTAGTCCAGAAAAGTGAACTGGAGTTTTGAGGGAAAATTCTTCAATGGGATGTACGTGTGCATGGTAGGAAGTCTTAACGTTATACCCTCATCCACGCCGACATTCACTAATATCTGCAGCAAGGACAAATGAAAACTCAGACATAAATAAAGATCAAATGACGTTGGAGAAAAACATTCTCAACGAGACAAAATGGATAAAAAAAACATTGTTTTTTAGAAAAAGCAAGTCTGAAGACGATAATGGCCACAAGCTTACTTTTTACAGAAATAAAAATTGTTTTCCTACTTTTTTTTAGCATTAACAGCACATATTTTAATGCTCTAAAACACACCCTTGTCTCACTCGGTTATGTACGCTAAGAAACTTCCATCCTGGTCTTGTTCACGACCGTAAGCATGAAAATGAATAGATGAGGGCGTGCCATTTACGATTCGTGTTTGAATAAAGATTGGATCAGATTCTCGAGTGTGCCTCGATAACCATATAAAATATTCAACACAAAACTGCCTACCTATTTTCTCTGAAAACAAGCCTTATCAACGATAGTAATGGCCTATTTACAGACGTTTAATAGATTGTTTCCCCTGTGGAGCATGTTTTGTGTAAAAATAAAACATTCTGGATTAAATAACACTCATTCTGATATTTTATCGAAATGAAACAAGAGAAAAAGAAGAAGAAAAAGGAAGGAGACAGAAAAAAAAAGAAATAAATTTCCATTGCACAGCTATCGACATTGTAAGGACAAACACAACGGAAGGCTCTATCGTCACTCTCACTGATGACGTTTATTCAATTTTTTCATACCACTAGGCTCCGTCTATATCGCCCAATATAAATTTATATAGGACAAAGAACGAGACGGTGTGAATGCTAATGTTGAGGTGCGGATATTTGTGAAGCAAATAGCTACGCTCAACCTCATACCTCTTTTTAAACTTGTCTTTCTTTCAATACAGCACATTGAGTATCAATTTTTTTGTCATTAATATCCAATGGACTCCGTAAAAATTGAAAAAGTCTTCGCAAATGATTGTATTATTCGAAAACCAAAATTTTTCGTATCATTCTTGGCTTTTCAATAAAAATAACTACTTTTGATTCAGTCAGCTATGCCTTTTTTTGTGAGAATGAGTTCTCAACAGACGTCACTCTTATTCGAAATATTTTTAAAGCAGAAAGATCTTCATGTAAAACTAGTATTTATAGAGCTCCTGTAAACGTTACTACACTCGAGGATGGTTGTCAGGTGTGCCATTTGGATCTTCTCTTCAATCACATTCACACATGCTTTTTACAGTTTATCATAGAAAACAGCTAAAGATAAATAAAACTGAAAGGAAATTTTCAAAGAACTTTAAATGTGCTTAAAAGGAACACTATTAAGATTAATGAATCAATGCAAATGATCGGTTTTCATTTTAATCAGGCACGTTTTTGTAGTAAAATCAATGAATGATATAAAAAGAATCCGTTCTATTTGTACTGTATGATCTACTCCCAAAGAGGTTTTTTAATTAGTAACTTTATTCATTATAATACTATTACATCTTGTGTATCTTTTTCAAAAAAGACAGCCCTATAGAAAGCTAACAATGAGCTGAGTATTTCTACAGTTATATTTGCTGGTGTAGATTTTGACTCTTACGATTTTTCTTCTGAATGAAAGTGTTGTCCAATAAACAGCTTTGCGTGATTCCTATTTCATCAATTGCATACGAGAAACTGTTTACTTTTTTGTAACAAAATACTTTATTTTACAATCTCTATTCTTTCAAAGAATAAAGCAAACATATTTTTGGAAAAAATTTTTCTTCGCAATTAGATTCGATTTTCTCGTCAAAAGAAAGAAAACGTTACTCATTTTCTCTTCCGCGTTAATTTTTTTTTTTTTCATAATTTATCAAGAAACAAAAAAAAAGAAAGAAGTAAAAGGGAACTATATTCTGCTAGTCATTGAGGGTTACCTAGGAGAATTTTCTTTTTCTTTACCTAGTTGATGAAAACATTTATGCTTCTTTTAGTATTTATTACGACTGCAATCAGACGTTTTTTTTTTGTAGGAAAAAAAGTAATAAAACAGTATGAGTAAAGAAGAAATAAAACGAGTTAGCATAATATAGATTTTTTTAAAATTTTATCTAAAACCAAAATATCTATTTAGTTATTCAAACAATTTGATAATGGTAACGGTCATTTATCATTAGCTGAAATCGATCGAGCTATTATTCAATTTTATCCACAATTTGGTACCAATAAGAAAGCAATTATGCGAGCATATAAAGCAGCTGATACTAGCGGTGTATGATAAGACAAAGAAAGAAATTTATTTGATAGATTTTCAATTTTTCTTTTCTTAGAATGGTTTTGTTGAATTAAAAGAATTCGAAAAAATTGTTCACCTACTCAAACAATATAATGAAATAAGCAAAATATTTGAAGAATTAGATACAAATGATGATCATCGTATTAGTTTTAATGAATTTAAACAAGGTTTTCAATTATTAGGTGAAGATGATTCAGATGAAGATAGTTTACAAGAAGAATTTGATGCTATTGATTCCAATGATGGTGGTTATATTCTATTTGATGAAGTAAGAATTTAAAAAATCAAAATCAAATATTGATTAATTTTGTGTTGTTTTCGTTCTTCTATTTCTAGTTTTGTATGCACATGGCCAAGAAAAAATTACAATAACTTAAATTCAAAACTAATAAACATTTAGATTTCATATTGTATTTCGTTAAAAAAAAATGTTGTCTTAATTACTGCGATCGATCAATAAAAAGAAAATTCTTTGTCTTGTTTTCTCTGAACAATATCTTAGATATTCTTTGTTAGTCAAATTTTACTGATCGTAAAATAATAAAGCTATTCAGCAATAACAAGATCGCTTGTTTTTTGACTTATTCCTTCATTTGTATTCATAGATAATATTTTTTTAAATAACACTATTTTAAACCTTTTCTTGTCCTATAGTCCCTATAAGGACCATTTTATAAAAATTTCGTTCTCTTGCGCTATGGCACATTTTAATACAGACTTTGGATCAACGTAAAACCTACCTATTGTATACTATATGGATAGGCGAGAATTATGTTCTACCATATCCCTACCCACAACGTATAGCGTGAATTTGGTATTCATGAGTTTACAATAAATCTATACAATTGAATGTAACATAGAAAAAAAAATCGATTGAAATAGTTATTTGAAAGGTTAATAGAACCTAAATAACATTTTCTTATAAAAGAACAAAGATCTAGTAATCGGCTAACTTTTCTAACTCGTCTTTTGTAAAGCTGAGTGTAAAATCACTTCGATTACTGCTTTGCTTTCATCATATCAGATCTTGCGAAGAAAGTATCTCAACAGATTTCCGAACTTTCGATTTCATATTTTAGCTATAAGTAGGTCTCTGTGAGGTTAACAAAACTCAAAAGCAGTTCAGATTAATGACTCTTCTTTTTTCAAATATTGCTAATATACTGATGAAAAAAATTGATCTTGTGTTTTTTTCCTTTTTTTAAATTATCGTTCATACATTCCCTTAATAATATAAGACTAAAATATGTCAAATCAATAGTTTAAATATTTAACTAGGCTGAATCATAAAATTCTGTAACTGTAATAATGCAGAGTGTAGGTTCTAGCAGCTATTTTTAATGCATGGATAAAAAAAATAGCAGTAAACAATACGTAAACCAAACATGGCGAACAAGGTAACTTAATGATCTTAATAATTCAAATAGAACTGATGAAAACGTAACAACTTCTGATATCATAAATAGAAGACCAAATGATAAGTTCAACACCTCCTTTTTTTTTAAATAGACCAAAAAAAAACAGTTTTAACAATATTGAAGATTTCCAGAGTCAGTCTATAGAGTTCCATTTGTATAGCATCTGTATTGAATAAATTTGAGAAAGAGAAGTGCATCTACTTAGAAACAAATTAGTGATACCTATTTGGTAATACCTATTTCGATCTCATGTTTCAAGATTAAGAATAGTATTATTAAATATAAGTTCTGAATAAGAATTTGGAGAAAATGAAAAAACACGTCTTTTTTCGTAATAACATGAACCATATCTCTGGAATGAAGAGTCATAAGTACGAATGCTCTTACAGTTTTCTTAGTCTCACTGAGACGTACATGTAGCTAAAAGATAATGTCATAAGCTTGAAATCAGTTGAAGTACTTCCTTCGTCAGTATCAGGGCTCCTAACTGGACAGGACAGGACACATGTTTCAATTACTTGTCCTGTACTAGTTGCACTGAAAATTGTCTCCTTTCATTCAAAACAGTAAACCAAAAAGGTGTCGCTGCTGGCTATTCTTTGCAGAGGCGAAATTCTAGTGCAAGATTTCGATACGTTAGGTTGCTATATCTACTTTTTCATTTTTTTTTCCGAATATGTCTTCTTAAATATTGTTTCATCTTCAAGCAGTATCACCCAATCTGTTTTCACGCCACTGTCTAAAATTAGTCTAATAAAAGAGAATAGTAATTTTTAATCGATCAAAATTCTTACAAAAAAAATCCGAAAAATTCGACTTTAATTGGATTGAAATCATGCACTTTAATCTATTTTTAATAATGAGAAAACAATCGATTTGAAACTAATTTGTTGGGAAACTCTTTCATGTGGCTTACGCTCTGTTGGGTGTGTCTTTTTTCGTCCTTGCTCTTCCGGACATCCGGTCAAATAATCGGATGTTCGAAACAGGATATAGAACATAAAATCGTTTTTCCGGATGTTCGGAATGAAAACCGTCCAGATGTTCGGAACGAAAAATACAGGATGTTCGAAACATAAAATGACGGATGTTCGGAATGAAAACCGTCCAGATGTTCGGAACGACAAAAATACAGAATGCTCGGAACATAAAATGACAGATTTTCGAAATGAATTTTGGTGTATGTTTTTCATANATCTTATCTGCAATAAAAAGAACAACCTATATAAATTACATAGAAAAAAATGTTTTTTAGTAAATAAACTTTTTCCCTATTTAAACTTGAAAATTTTTTCATGTGTGCGCATAAAAAAATCTTTGTCTATTAATGATACATTAACTTCCAGCGGTTGAAGAAAAAATAATTTTTTCTTTTTTCACAATGACGTGATTTCGAAATTGTCATATTACTGATCGAGAATATATTAGTCGAATTAAGAAAATTCAGCCACAACTTCGTTCCAAATGCAAAATATAAAAACTTTTGTACGTTTCCACATCTTCTTTGTACTATTGTGTTCTTTTTATTGCAGATAAGATGCAGAAAAATAATTATGATATAGCAGACAATCGTATGTTTGGCATAACATTGTTGAGAGGTTATCGTTGTGAGTCAAAGTAGAATAAATCTGAATTTGATAAAATAACCTGATGATAAGATTGAGCAACATGATATTGCTGTTAGATACATTTCGATCAATTTTTTTGCATAATTTTAAAATAGTGAGAGTAAATAGTCAATTTAAAGTTCACTGAGTAATTAGATTCTTAAATAGTGTAAATAAATATTTAAAAAGAAAAATGATTAATATTCAAAACAAATAATTGTACGATGTCTTGATGAGATACTAAATCGAAATAGTCAGATAAATATTATCTCGTAAGGTCCTAACTGTAAAGAAAAAAAAACATTTCATACAGATGTATTCAGAAAAGAATGTTGGCAAAAAAGCTGTATAAATTACATGCTTGTATATAAATGATGAGATATCTTCGTAAGTTTGAAAAAAAAAAATAGGTATAAGTGAGTGCAAAAGTCATGTTGATTCGTTATGAAAGCGGAACGAAATACGAAAAATAAGAAAACCATCTAGACATGTACGATGAATGTTTTTGCAGTGATAGAACTATTAGAAAAAGCAGATATTCTGCCAATTTTTATTGTTTACTTAGTTGATCGACATTCTGAATCCACTTTTGAAGATTTTTCTTTTACGCTTATGGTGTTGCAGATAATATACACCCTTACTACGTTCATCAATAGCTTTTGTGAAATATTCTTTAGACAAATTTGCTCTTCTTATGATTCTCCACTATATCAATATGATGTGTTTAAACATTTGAATAAGTGCGACCTAATAAGAGTGTAATTCAATACAATACTGCCAATTGAAAATAAAATAATTTGTAATATGATATAAATAAATTTCAGTAATTGATTGTTGTGATTCTATTTTATCTAACCAAAGAAATCTATAAATGAATCGAGCCAGCCAAAATCGCTTTCGAAAATCTTTTTTAGAGTGCAATCGAAAAATCAAAATATCCAACACTAACGTTGATATTATCAGACTAATCACAGGATAGATGCTTTTGAGTTGAACCGTTGGAAGTTAATGTATCATTAATAGACAAAAATTTTTTATACGGGCGCATGAAAAAATTTTCAAGTTTAAATAGGGAAAAAGTTTATTTACTAAAAAACAGTTTTTTTCTATGTAATTTATATAGGTTGTTCTTATTAGGAACATTTTTCTGCTGGTTGTTCTTATTGGGCACAGCGTTCCTAACAAGAACAGATGAGTTATTTTTTAAAATTTAATAACTCTGTTATTATAAATCAAAAAAAATTGAACCTTGAAATCTTAACTCCATGATTAACAACAAAACTTTTTGTTTCAGGAATATATCGATATTTTCAAGTTCAAATTAGAAAAAGTTCATTTACTAAAAAAATGTTTTTTTCCATATATTTTATATGGCCTATTCTTATTAGGAACAGTTTTTAGCTTGTTGTTCTTATTAGGAAAAGCGACCCTCATAAGAACAAATTCAATTACTCGTAAAATACCGCTAATTATAGGTTTAATTTACGAGATAATAAAATAATTTTTGCATCATTCGATGCAGCAAACATTTCTACATCCAGAAATGTAAAAAAAACTCTATAATTTAAAAAATTTGATCAGTAAAAAAGCAAATTACTGACACCTCTGAAAAGTCTGTTCTTATTGGGGACATCGACTGTAATTTCTACACTGCTAATTTTCCTCCACTTGATAAATTACAAGATTCACTATTCATCTTTTATTAGTGACGATGAAGCAAAACTTGAGTGTCATAGAGTTTTTTTTTGAAGTCAGTTTTGCGTGATTTTTGTGCATTTGCAGTCATCATTACGAGAGATTATCGATAGGAAGTATGCATCATAGTTTAGGATGTATGCTATCGGATGAATAGTGTAATGCACTAACTTGTAAATATAAACCGTTCAAAGTAAATTATTAGTTACACGTCTTTGAAATTCTTTGAAAGACATGCACGACAACGTTATTTTCTAGTACTAATGATTCTTACTCCATTAATAATAGTGCAAAATAGATGTGATTTAACTGCTCTACTTTTTATTATTGTTTAGATAATTTTGGTTTACCGACACACATCCTGAAATGTCTTTCAAGTTCAAAAATAACTCGAACAAGAACTCATTCTTTTTTTTTAGTTTTTTCTATATAAGGCTGCCAAACAAGAAAAGAACAATAATATATGTTGAAAATATTTCTAAATAACAATTTTCAATTCGAATTTGAAAGAACTTGGAAGAGAATATGTTTTCTGCGGATGAACCGAAGTGTGTACACTCTTGATTGTTCAAATTTCACAGTCAGCCTCAAGCTTTAGATGATTGAAAACGGACATAGGAAATATAGTTTAATTCTATATAACTTGAAAGAACAAAATTCTCTAAATAAAATTCAGAAAAAAATTAACGAGAAAATTTTATTCAGTAATACTTATGTATGTTTGATAATCTCTCTAGCATAAATTGCAATGTTGCTGAACGTTTGTAATAGACAATAAAGAGCAAAAATACGAACAATTGATTTCATCTATTCCACGCAAAGATGACAGCATACAAATATCGATATAGTATAGGTCGGTTTGGAAAAAATCTTATGACAAAAAAGAATTTTCTGATAATCAACAAATATATTAACGATACTTTTTGATCTTGAAAGTTTTAGTGACAAATTCAATTGCTCTGATGGAAACTGATCAACGTATGTTGCCTTTTCTTTTGGGAATATACGAAAAAAAAAAATTTCTAAAAATAAAATACACAAAGTAAACATAAAATATTTATTATATGACAACCATGTTTATCGATTGTCGGAAACCACATAAATACATTTTATATTAGCACACTTGTTTATTGTAGTAATCAAATTATATGAAATTTATTTTTATTTATTTCTTCTTTTAAAATAAATCGAGTATCGTGTTAGACTTAAGATCTTATTCAAATCTCTTTCGTCAGAAATAATTTGTTATTTCTAAATAAAACGAAAAAGAAGATTGAACGAGTTTAGCAAAATTAAAATAGACCGATCCATAGTGTTAATCTTAAATTTGTGTTGCTAAAAGAACAGAAGGTTGTCGTAGTTCGCGCATTGTTGCTTTGATTGGTACTACTTGATTTCCACAAAATTTTAATTTTATAAATATTTGTTTGATTTGCGAATTAATAAATACGATTCCTATACTGAGTATGAATATTGTTACTGCTGGACCCATCCATTGAATTCTATACATATAAAAAGAACCTGATAAACGAACATCAATACTTGTTATGAGAACGAAAGTTAGATTTGGTACTCCAGGTAAAGTAAGAGCAATGACTGTAAATAAGATACGACGAGTGATCATTAGATCACGTTTTGCCCTTCTTCGTCGTCGTTCTTGTGATAATTGAGGAGCATGATTACGAATAAAATGCAGACAACGACTATACATTATAGTCAGATAAATAATTGGAAACGCGAAAATATTCATAATTGTATAAGAAAGTCCAACAATTTTTTCATATGGAATACCACAGTAATAGTCTGATTCATAGAAAGAATAAAGTGATCCAGGCCAAAAATATGATGGAAGAAGTAAGAGAAAATAAATAATCCATTGAAGTACAATACAAATTAAATTGAATGAAAATGCCTATAATTTCATTTTTAGTTTTTTAGATTGCTTAAACTTCAATATAAATAATTATATCAACCATGTTTTGCAACTATGCATGATAAAAAAAATTGAAATTTACATACCTGTAAAAATTTGTATTTGCTATAAACAACTCTTGTTAATCGATAAAATGCTTGAAGAACAAAAGTCATATAACAACAACCGAATGTTTCATAAGTAAGAAAACCTAGAAATCGGCATGTAATTAATTCTTTGTCAGTAAGAGTAGCAGTACCATAGAAATCAACTTTAAAAACATTAATAGTCTCCAACAAAATAACGAGAGAAAATGTGACCATAGCTGCATACGTATTTGTTACAAGAAGAAGTGAAACATCGCGTTTTTGTCGTAGATGATTGACCAAGATGAGAAATAGAGTAAAAGCAATCAATATTGTAAGACTAGAGCTAATTAGAGTAATAAACGTAAAAGACATATTTGACAACATTGTTGTTTTGAATTGAATATTAACGATGTGTGTAAGGAAATTACGCGTTATTTTTCTAAGTTTTCTCTCATTTCCTCTATCATAAAAGAGAGATATTTTTAGTTAAAAGATAGAGCAAATATATAACAGTAGACACTTTTTCTATTCAGTAAAAGCTTTGTAATTTTCAGTATTTTTTTCATAACGAAAAAACTTCTGATGTTCTTTTTTATTAAGTCAGGTGAAAAAGAAGAAAATGATAATTTAATACGTAGTTCCAGTCAAATTTCAGTTATATTTTTTTTATTCATAGTTAACAGTGATGATGTCTTCAGCATTTGGATATTAAATTTCTTCTTAGATTCAAAATACTGAAGCAAAAAAAATCGATGAATGCCTTTGAACTCGATGTTTTTTTCTTATTTCATTTGTTTAGTGTGACTGTCACGAATGAATGATAGAAATGCTAGCAATTAAAATGATGGACTTTCATGTGAATCTCGTTAACGATGTTCTTTTACTCATTATGTTTTAGTAGTTTCATACAATTTTACATTTATTTAAAGCATTGGAAATGCAAACCTTTCACAAAGTTTATTCCATGTGCGGCTTTTTCGCAGTTGAATAAAACATACCCAATTGCATAGAAAAAGTCAGTTTTCCAATTTTTTATAAGTAAAGTTTGAAAAAGCATATGAAAGAAAGTAGCTTTTGATAACAAGTCAATGAGTATTTGTTTCTTCTTTCGATCGAAGTCTAATTTCAAAATTTTTTCTTCTAAATCAATTTTGTGCGGGTAATCCGGCAAAGTCTTTAAAATGTTTCATCGAAAGAAGAGAAAAAAAGATAATCTACCATTTGTTGTCAAAAACGACTTTCTAGTTACATTTGACATATCCTTCAAATGTCCTTTTCAACCTCTCATAGAAAAAGTTGGAAAACTAGCTTTTTCCCGACAGCTTCGCGTGCTCAGTCTCATCAGGCAAAAAAAGATATCTAAAATAAATTGTTGCTGAATATAAGTTTGATAAAGAAAACTTATAATAGAATAAACTTTTTAATCCATGTCAGTCTATACCTCATTACTCTCAAATCTCAAATAGATTCAGGTAAAAAAGTACGAGTTGGTTTCAGCAGGAAACGATCGTAAATCATCGGAAAAAACTCGGAGACTTTCCGATGCGGAATATTGCTGCTATGTTTCATCAATTTCCGGTGTTTTTCTGTTGAATATAATCATTTTTTTTGCATCGTGTCGGTCAGTAGGTGTGTGAAATTCGATTGTTTTCAGAGTCGGGAATCATTGACTTAGAGAGAAGATCTCAAAACTATATTATTCACCGAATGCCTAAAAATCACGAAGAAATTGAGCTTCCATTTAAATTATAAAAAGAACCCACTCTTCGTGTCTACGTTCTTAGTCTATCGAGCGTATGTTGAATTATTCTATGAAAACGGAAACATCGTTTACTAGATGGGCTATCTAATTCGAGTACGAATACAAATGAAACTCTGAAAAATAAATGCTATTTCGAAAAAACATAACAAAATAATTCGTCAATTTGAATCAATCATTCTGCGAGAGGTGGAAGCTTCATAAAAAAATGAGATTTGAAGTCGGCAATGAAAAATAATCCTGATTTTCTTAAGTATAGTTTTCACTGCGATACTACCATCTGTAATGAATACCTAATTTGATACAGACTTTAATCGATCATAATACATCGAAAGAACGTTTTCAGCAATATTCTATTCGATTTACCTTTGCACTCACTTAAGTATAATTTCAACAAATAAATAGTCATTTTACAATGATATTTATTGTGCAAAAATAAGTTTCTCACTTAAAAAATAAGAGAGATATAAATGTGAGAAACAAAGTTCCTGTATTGACGACTCCCCCTTACTATTATTTTAGAAGCTACTATCCATAGCTTGGTATCAAAGGTAGATGAATTTCAATAATACTAGGTCCTACCGACATTACTCTCTGCGATGATGTGTTTTTTTTAAGCTATTTCTTTTTCAGATAAATTTCAATAATTTAAACAAAACATCAATGAGAGGTAATAGTCCATAATAAACTAATCACAATATGATAAATGACTGCAAGGTAGAAAAAATGATGACTCACCCGACATAGAGACCGACACTTAATACATTTCATACTGTTATTTTATTTATTAATGTTAAAATATAACTAATGCTTTGCTGCTTATTGCTTATTGTTTTATTTATTTTTATCAAAAAAAATTCGATATGTCAATCAATTCTTTTGTCACTCTGTTTAATACTTTCAATCTTCTTTCACAATTTTTTTTTCAAAATTATGTTTTATTGACAAGATTAATGCCCTGACGCCTATTAAGACAACATCGATGTTGGTGTGAGTGTAGAGTGTTAGTGTGGGTGGATGAGGGCATGAATGTAGGTATGGATGAACTGAAGATTGGCACTATCACCCGTATCTGCACATATCCACAGCTACCCACACCCACATTCATGAAACTATTCAGATTTATTCTTTCCTGGTACCAAGAACCATTAGGATAAGCTCGTGCGAATCAGATCACGCTGCAGGAATAGAATTACCCATGACAATAATAGACGCTATAGATTCAAAAAAAAGAAAAGCTAATGATATGATTGCCTGAATCTTGATCTCTGAAGACACTCGTTATTTTACTGTATACGATCGATTTTTCCCACTATCAGACTGCCATATGAAAATATTCTATTTCAAAGTTAATTTCTAGGGATCTTTCATTGAATCTAATTGTTATTTATTCATACAAATTCTCCAAAATACCAAATAAATATTACAATACAATGTACCAGATCAAAGTCCAAACTTTTACAAAATACTCTGATATTCTTATTTTGGCTCTAATATTGTATCTTGAAGATGAACGTTTCATATTAATTATTTTATTATGCAGCTATTTACGAATAGACAAAAAATACATGATTTATCTCATTATGCCGAATGCTGTTTTTTTCAGCGACGAATAACTCTTGCCATTTTTCCAATAGCTTTCGATCGTTGTAAATATGAAATTATGGAATATGATGCTACATCTATTTGATTTGAACATTCTTTCTGTTCGATTGGAGTCTTTTGTGAATGATTGTGTCTTGTAGGATGCCATTGATCATCACAACTGAATTCAAACTACACTATTGGTGTCGACATTGGTTGTATTAGTATTGTTAATTGTCTTGATTTTGTGCACTTCAATCTACGTTGTCTTTTGCTTTGCATGCCTTCACTTATTTCATTCCATTTCTCTGTTAATAGTTGTTTGATTTAAACAATAGAAATCGTATTTTTTACTGAAGTGTTTTTCCTTGCCAATAACAAATGAATTACTTCAAAATCGTGTGTAAGTGGTTTGCCAGTCTTGCTTTTTATTGCGATAAGTTTTTGACGAAGGTTTTTACTAGAAGATCTATTGGCAATATTCACGCAAAAATCGTATCTGTCTTCGAAAGCACGTAGATATTGACCATTTTTACGGATAAAACGGCCAGATTGTGTGAGACGTTCTTGAGCATCAAGTGCCGATTGGAATGGCAAAAACATCATACAAGCAGATTTCGATGGTTTCCTTTCATCAAACTGTTCTAATTGGATTTCATTGCAAATATTATCTAGTATAATTGGATCGATCGTATTCAAGTTTATCCATGACATTTACCTTTTTTCCGTTGCATGAACAACATTTCTGTGATAATTGATAATAAACACTTTTATGAAATTCGCCAGCGTCGCCGAGTAAATTGACAGCACAATTAAACTTGGATACATATTGGCAACTGTGTACAATACATTGATCGTTGAGTATTCGAACTTGAACGCATTTAGATTTTTTAGGGTAGATTCCTTTATAAAATGAAACAGAAAGAAGATAAAGAAAAACTATTCATCAAGGTGTTTAGAAAAATACGCTGTTTATTGATACTGACTCAGACATAACCGAATGTTGTAAGATCGCTCATAATGACAACTTATATTCTTTTACTTACAGTGGTATAACATCACCTGACCATAGTTCATTGAGATTTTTAACTATACATTCATGTAAAGCATCAAATGGGATCCTATTGATGATGACAACAAATTTTATCAAGCTCTAATCGAATAGAACACCGTATTAATTCGATTTTATCCTTTTAATTATATGATTCATGTTGAAAACAATTGCTTATCCTACTGCTAATTAATTCCTTGTAATCACAACGTTATTTACGTTACCCATGGCTTTTCTCGGTATGAAATAAAACTTCGATTAGTTGATAATTTCAATTCATCTGCAATTCTTCAATCCCTATTCATTATTTCTATTTTAGCATGCCGAATCATGTATGCGTCGTCCTCAATGAAAGTAAGCGATTCTACTTTTGAAACTGTAATTGCAATAGCAAATTCAGATTAATGATTGTCTTTCGATGTATCTCATTGATTTCAATAGTTCTAGATGTATGACTCAAGTTTTGTAACAATAAAAAAGGGTGTGGGTGTGGGGGTAAAGACCGAATACACACATACCCCCATCCACACCCACTTACGCCCACACCCTACACCCACACCTCACACCTACCCGCAGCGCAAATCTGCTAGAACAAGATGTCTTTTTTTAAATAAATTTCTTCGAACGCGTTTAATCCCAATAAATTTTTACATGGGATTGGATTTTGACAACAACGAAAATATCAGCCAAGATGATGCAACACGGATAATAAAATCATCATTACATTACATCAAATATGAGAATGTCATAGGTCCTTGTTCTTATAATTTCTTTAAAATTACAATGATTATATATTTAGATTGACGAAGGAAAAAAGGTCTTTGAAACATGTATTGATCTGATTAGTATGAAAGATCAGTTTGACAATCTCGAAGCGTAGATCAAAAGATTATGTAATAAATGTCAATGTCTTCATTCTCTATTTTGAAAAATAACGATCATTTTATTTAGAGACGAATTACACAAATAATTTTTGATCAAATAAAAAAGCATAATCAATGAGATAATTATGCATACATGTACATGTGCATTGTATTACATTCGTATAAAAAGAGAAATATATTCATATATATATGCATACACATGTTATATCGATCAAAAAAAGTGTGATATGATTGCGAGTACTTGCATGTAAAAAATGCTTCGATTTAGTAACAAAAATAAAAGGTTTTTTTGTATAATATCCGTATAGTGTTTCATAAATAAAAGAACTATTGTATTTGAGAAGAAAAAAAAATTAAATATTTCTACTGGATATTATTGAATAACTGTGTGCTTTTCTTACAGAATTACCGATCGAATGAAACATGTCGAAACTTTGCTTTTTTTCTTAACTTTTATCTCTCTTATACTTGGATGAAGTATAGTACATCTGTGAGTATTTTGGTAAAGAAAAAACAAGTCTTAATCGAAGAAAAAGATGCAAGAAAGATATATAAGCTCGAATATTGAATATCAGGTGTCAACAAAAAACATCAACATAATATAATTATATTACAATCAATACACGGGTATAGAGGGGCTAAAAAATTTAATTAATTGTTAAATCTTTTGAACAATTTCTGTTCTGCTTCAATTTAAGTTCATTAAGCAATGCACAATCAATAAAAGGAGCTACTAATAAATAAAATACTAAAAATACATCAAATAGTTACATTAAAGATAGTTCATAGACTGTCACAAATCGCAGCGGAACTGCCGTGAGTTATCACATAGATATTTCAAGGGCATCGCTCATTTTGCTTTAACTGCTCCGTTACTTCTTTGGGTGTATGTATGAATGTGAGGTGCGGATGTGGGTGAAAAAATGCTTGCAGTCACACTCAATGAAGTAACGGAGTAATGAGGTGAGGTAGGGAAAAGAAATGAGCGTGGTTGTTGAATTCAGTTTATCATAACCTATGGTGGTTTCGCCGCAATTTATGACAAACATTAAAATTATGAAAAAATAAATTCATTCTATTTGTTGCTGAAACTTTCAGAAAACAAATAATAACCAGACATATATCTGTGATATAAATTTTAGACAAAATGACACTAGTGTAGAAAAGTAATTAAAAAAAGTTGCTGTGTCGTTTATTCTTGGGAAGAGAATAAATATACCTTTTTTTTCATAATCCGTGATAGATTACAGTTCTTTATTAAAGTCAATTACGATATGTCAAAACAGTTTTTATCAATGCTTGCCCTATGAATAGAAGCTATGAATAATACTCTATTAGCGAAAAAAAAGTGTCACCCATTAGCTCAGAATATAACAAAACTAAAACTCATGGCCTTTCAAGGCTCTGTTTGAGAGATATAGCTATCACAACTTCTTCCTCTTTTTTTTTATTGCTGATATTTATTTTGCATCATGTTATGTTTTTTCATTACTTTTCTTTACCCATACGCGTAAATATACATGAATATTAACATATGTATATCGATAGAAGACACCCTCATCAAGTAACAAGTAAAGTAATGTAAATTTTAGAGGAAAGAAGAAAAGAAGGCAAGCGTTTTATCAACCCAAGAAATTGCATACTGCGTCGAACAATAAGGTAAAAAATAAAAAACAAATATAAAGCTTGTTGTGACTTTGTTAGGCCTTGAAGCATACCTGAATCGAATCGACCCATATAAAAATAAGAAAATATGCAAAACTCGCTGGAAATCAGTGGCATACCAACAACTTCTAAACATCGGTAAGATATCATCGATGTCAATTCTTTTTTTTTCACGAACTCAATATCAAAAGAGAGGAGAATGCTCATATATGATAGATCATTATTGAGTTATCAACATTGCAGGAATCCATCTTCATGGAAAGTACTTTTCATAATACTCATCGTACTTGCTGGTCTACTTTTCATTTCTACCGTTGTGTTGGCCATCTTGTTCGGAGTGGAACGAAACAAACCAAAAGGTATCTATTCTTATATTGGATGAAAAAGTAACATGCTATTTCAATTTTTCAGTTGAAGAAAATGATATATGTTTAACTCAAATCTGTGTTGAAGCAGGTTGGTGAATGAGGATCTCTTCCAAACATAAAGTCGAACTATTCTACTATCCTAGCCAACACTTTACTCAAGAGTATCGATGAAACAGTTGATCCATGTGAAAATTTTTACCAATTCACCTGTGGAACGTGGCTCAAGAATACAAAAATACCTGCGGAAGGTCAGTCCTTTCTCTCTTTTTTACCTTTGACGAATATTACTTTATTTAAAGCTACGAGTGAAACTATATTCGAGATGATAGGAACTCAATTAACTAACAATATAATTGGTTGGATACTTTATCTATTAATCTTCGATTACTCTTTTTCTCTATTGCTAAAGATGTTCTCTCATCGTCATCATCAACCAGCATCGACAAGTCTCATGCAGTTATTAATGCTCGTCGTTTGTATTCTTCCTGCATTGATGAAGAAGCTATCGAGATGGAGAATGTTAATGTATTTCTCTCATTCATAAATACACAATTGGGTGGATGGCCCATTTTGGAAGGCTCGAAATGGAACAGTTCGACATTTAACATATCGAATCAGTTACTCAGACTGTTTGAATATGGACATCCACTCATTTTCAGTATCGGGACAATTATTGATGACCAGAATTCGTCTACTAATATAATAACAGTACGTGAGTTTCGGTGTACACTTGCATTAATAATTTGTGGCACTGTTTTAGATCGGACAAAGTGATCTTGTTTTGGGCACACGCAGTATCTATGAGAGCGAGAATACAATCACTATCGCCTACCATCAATTCATACGGGAGATGGCTCTAGCATTGACTAATGACACATCGATGATCAACGATGATGTTAATGCTATATTTGAGTTAGAACAGCGCATTGCCAAGGTACTCTTTTCTGTCATAACTCATATTGAATACCGATCTGAATTATTGTTTTTCCTACAGTATCATTGGACAGTTGTCGAACAGTTGGCTTATCTTGACGAAAGTATTCGTACGACAGTTGGAAATCTTTCACGCACATTGAATGTCAATGTAAGTATCTTCTATATTCTGTCATTTTTACTGTCTTTCGTCAGTTTGACTTTGCGAGTTATCTTCGACGTGCCTATGGTTTGGCTAACGTGAGCCTCGTCGATGAGGATATTGTGTTCATCAGTGAAATAGACTTTATACGCAATGTTTCTTCGATCATTGATCATTATTCATCACGCACTTTGCACAACTATTTGGTGTGGCGTTTCATACTCAATCGAATCGATCAGATGCCAAAACGATTTCAAATCATCAAACAGAATTTTCTCAAAGTGTTGACAGGAGCCAATTCTCAACAACCACGTACAACTGAATGTGCTACCTTTATCAATACTTATATGGGTTTTGCTATAGCTAAACTCTATATTCAAAAGTATTTTGACGAGAATGCTCGTAATCAAGTTAGTTAAAGATGATAAATTTCTTTCACTAATTATTCTTTTGCTAAGTCAATGGAAATGATTGAGAATATTCGTAATACATTTATTGATATGGTTCAGCAGTCATCTTGGATGGATCCCATTTCGAGATCTAAAGCAATAGAAAAAGCGAGTTCAAAACAGAAATTTAAACATACAATGATATCATTTAAAAGGTCCGTGTAATGAACGAAGAAATCGGCTATCCTGACTATTTGGGCAATGAGAATTTAACCAAACTCGAGATAGACTATGCTGAGGTGCAAATACGTAGAAAGAACCTACTTATTACTAAAAATTTAGTTTTGGATTATTGTTTGCTTTTTTTTAGTATAATTTTAATTCGTCTCTGATGAGCAACGGTTTGATTATACTCCGACTAGAAATGAAAAAAAATGTTCAAATGCTTCGCGAACCAGTCGATCGTAAGAAATGGGCTTTTGCACCGACAATTGTCGAAGCTGCCTATACGCCACAATACAATCGAATAAGTAGAATTTATCTTCTCACTATATTTTCATTTGATTCTTCATAGCTTTTCCGGCTGGCATTCTTCAAATGCCAGCCTATCACAAAGATGCACCACGGTGAGTTATCTGTTTTATTCTTTCTTATTTTCATCGATATTTTATTTGACGATAGATATCTTAATTATGGCGGTGAATAATTATTCAATTTCGAAGACAAATTATGTAGTTTACTGATGATTTCCAGGTATTGGCATGTTCATAGGGCACGAAATTACACATGGTTTTGATGATCTTGGACGAAAATATGACAAAGATGGAAATCGAATTCCTTGGTGGACTAACGAGACAATCAATAAAACGGAATACAATTGCAATGTAGTCAAAAGAAAATAACAAACATAAGAAAATGTGACGTTCAATTGTAAAGAAAACGAAAGAATCGAATATCGATTCACATTACCAAACGGTACATTTGTTTACTCGACTGTTGGTTTGACCAGGTTTACAGCCGAAGACTCGATCGAATTCGGCAAAATTCGACGTTGGACCAATCACTCTGAAATAGATCGAAGACTTTAAATAATCATTACGAATGAGAATGATACAAAAATATTCACCTGAACAGTTGTTCTTT